CCGCTTGCCCTACCCCCACCACCCACGCACCCCCCGCCCATCCGCCCTTCCCGCTCCGCATACTCCTTCCCTTGCCCAAGCCCCCCACGCACCCTGTGCCTCGCTGCCCTTGCTGTCTGCTTCGTTGTGCAGTGCCTCGCTGCCCTTGCTCTGCTTCGTTGCGCAGTGCCTTGCTGCCCTTGCTGCCTTCGCCAGACCCATTGCCCCTACCACCTACTCCACCCCATCCAAAGCTCGACCGGCCCCCAGTGCATGCCCGCCCGCTGGCCCTACGCATGCCCTACCCTTACCACCCACGCACCCCGCCCCCCGCTCCTTCCCTTGCCCAAGCCCCCCACGCACCCCCGACACAATTCTTTCATGTAACCCCTTTCTCCTCCCATTCATTGCCCTCCTTTCCTACCCCCCACCACCCCACGCACTCCCTCCCACCCCTCCCTCCTCCCTTCCCTCTCCCATCTCCTTCCCTTTCCCAAGCTCCCCACTCCAACGCCCTCCATTCTCTCATTGACCATAATCCCTCCTCCCATTCCTTCATCCCCATCTCTACCTTCCCCCAATCCACTTTCCTGCCACCTCTTTCCCTACCCCCCCCACCACGTCACGCCCTCCCCCCTTCCATCCTCTCTTCCCTCTCCGCATACTTCCCCCCTTTCCCCCGTCCCCCCGCTCCTTCCCTTGCCCAAGCCCCCCACGCACCCAGCCATGCTTCTCATGGACCCATGGCTCCTCCCAGTGCATGCCCGCCCGCTTGCCCTACCCCCACCACCCACGCACCCCGCCCCCCGCCCATCCGGCCTTCCCGCTCCGCATACTCCTTCCCTTGCCCAAGCCCGCCACGCACCCCGCCATGCTTCTCATGGACCATGGCTCCTGGTCCCATTCTTCATCCCAAGCTCCACCAGCCCCCAGTGCATGCCCGCCCGCTTGCCCTACCCCCACCACCCACGCACCCCGCCCCCCGTCCATCCGCCCTTCCCGCTCCGCATACTCCCCCCCTTGCCCAAGCCCCCCACGCACCCCGCCATGCTTCTATGGACCCATGGCTCCTGGTCCCATTCTCCATCCCTCCTGTTTATGGCCCCTGCTCCACCCCCACCCCCAACCCCCACCCCCACCCCCACCCCGCACGCACCCTGCCCCGCCGCCCATGCTTGTCATGTGGCCCCTGGCCCCATGGCTCCACACTTCCCTGCGTGCGGGGTGGGGGGGTTGGGGGTGAGGGGCCATTTTTCGGGCCAGCCATGCAGGTCGAGGGCCATGGGTCCATGAGAAGCATGGCGGGGTGCGTCGGGGGCTTGGGCAAGGGAGGGAGTATGCGGAGCGGAGAAGCCACCTGCTTGGGCCGTGGACCATAATGAATGGGGAGCCATGGGGCCATGGGTCATGAGGGGCCTGGGTGCGTGAGGGGGAAGGGGTGGGAGCTGGGTCCATGAGGGGTAGGTCAAGGGGATGGAGAGTGGGAGCATGGGCCAGAGGGGAGTAGGCGGAGCTAGAAGGGCGGAGGGCGGAGGGGGCGGAGCGGGCAAGCGGGCGGAGGGCCCGGGCATGCACTGGGGCCCTTTAAAGTCAGCTGAGAAGCCACATCCATGGGCCGTGGACCATGAGCCACCGCTTTTTTTGTCAAAGCTGAGTTTTAAGGGCTCCAGCGCGTGCCTGCGCCCCCTCGCCCCCCACACCCCCCACCCCCGTCCCCACCTACCCCCCGCCCACCCACTGCCTGCGCCCCCTCCACTTTCCCCGCCCGCCTGGCCCCGTGGCTCCACCCCCACCCCCCCGCCCCCACCCACCCCCTCACCCCGCTCCCACCCACCCCCCACCCGCCCAAGCCCCGCCCAAGGGGGGTTCCCGCCCAACCCACGACCCAGCATCCCGCCCCCCACCACCACACCTCCCCGCCAACACTACTGTGCACGCCCCCCCTTACCGCCCCCAGACGTTCCCCCCCCGCCCCGACCCCGTCCCCACCTACTCACTCCTCCCACCCTGCCCATTCCCCGCCCCCAACCCCCCCCCCCACCCGCCCAGCCTCCCCTACCCCCAGCCCCCCCCACCACCCCCCACCCCGTCCCACCTACCCCCCCCCCAACCTCCCGCACCAGTCCCAGCCCCCCCCTTCGTCAAAGCTAAGGGCTCCTCGCTTTCCCCGCTGCCCCGCCCCAGTCCCAGCCCCGCCCCCCTTCGTCAAAGCTGAGTTTTATGGATGTGGCTTCTCAGCTGACTTTAAAGGGCCCCAGTGCATGCCCGGGCCCCCCCCCCCCTCCACCCACCCCCCCTTCCATGCCCTTGAACCTAGCTGAGTCTTAAGTGCTCCACCGAGCCCCCCCCCTGAGCTTTAAGGGCAATGCACCCCCGCCAACCCCCCCCCAGCCCCCCCTCCCTAAACCCAAACCCTAAACCTCAAACCCTAAACCCCTCTACCCAGCCCCCCCCCCCCCCCCCTCCACGCACCCCCCCTTCCATGCCCTTGAACCTAAGCTGAGCCACCGCCCAAGTCCCAGCCCCCCCCTGAGTTTTCGCCCCCTCCCCCCCCACCCCCCCCAACCCCCTCCCCACCTCCTCCCCACCCGCCCAAGTCCCGCCCACCCCCCCACCCGCCCAGCCTCCCCTACCCCCGCCCACCCCGTCCCCACCACCCCCCCCCCCCCTAACCCCAACCCCGTCCCACCTCCCTCCCGCCCCCAGGTGGCCGCCCCGCGCAGCCTTGGTGCCCCCCCGCCCCCCCACCCCCACCCCGTCCCTACCTACCCCCCCAACCTCCCGCCCCACTCCCAGCCCCGCCCCCCTATCCCACTGAGTCCGCGGCCATTTGTCCACCATGGTCTTGTCCACGCGAAAGACATGTTTGCATTGGCATTCACACAACACACTGCAAAACATCAAGCCCCTCTCTCGTGACCCCACCTCAAGTTTTAATCTTAAGGGGGGGGTGATGGTTTGGAGCTTGGGAGGTTTGGGGTCGGCGGCACTGGCGGTAGCCATTAAATCGGGCAGCGCGAGGTCCCCAAAGGACCGAGCAAATGCGGACCTTTTAGCCCGGGTCGTCCCGGGAATAGCCTTGCTGGCCTCTGGCCTTCTGCGAAGCAGAATTAGGCCGGACGCCAGTGCCGCCGACCCCCGCGTGCCGCCGGTGAACGGTTTTTTTTTCGTGGTTTTTTGCGTCGCCACGGAGGCCCCCAGAGGGCGCGCATCATGAGCATCAGCGGGTCCAGCCCGGGACCCCCAGGCGCGCATCAGGAGCATCAGCGGCTCCCGGGGCGGGACCCCGGGGGCGCATCAGGAGCATGACGCCCCCCAAAGGGCGGGCATAAGCGATGTGTCTAAGGTCGGGGCTAGGAAAAAGGGAGTTTAGGGGCCTTATAAAGTGCTGAGAAACGTTAAGGGAGTCTAGGAGCCTCAAACGCTTAGAGATTTGAAGGGAGTTTAGGGGCCTGAAAATGCTTAGAAACTTAACGCTTAGAGATTTTAAGGGAGTTTAGGGGCCTCAAAATGGTTTTAGAAACTGCTCGCCCCGCGCTTCTGCCTGCGCTGCCCGCCCATGGGCGCAGCCCCTTAAATAAGATTGGGTTTAGGGTTTAGGGGTTTAGGGGCTGAGGGGCTGAGGGGTTTAGGCTTCGGGGTTTAGGGGTTTAGGGGTTTAGGGGTTTAGGGTTGGAAGTAACCACCTATCGGGGACTCAGGGTTCCTAGCACGTCAGGTGAGGCTTGTGGCTGCTCCATACATCTTTTCTGTCGGCGTGGGCGGGCATGAGGAACAAGATGACTATGGATACCTACAGGTTCAGGGTTGTCAGCTTCGTAGTCACGACTGCCCCACCGTCAACTCTGTCTACCGCTGAACCTCGAAAAAGTTCGCACATGTCTCCCAAAAAAAAAAGACCAGGCGTGGACAACTTTCTTGTCAAACAGCCTCCGAGGCTTGGCCTAACGCCCAAATCATCCCAAATTAGAGTCCAAATTAGGGTTTAGGGTTTAGGGTTCAGGGTTCCTCAAAAACTCTTAACAAACAAATTCCGCGAAGATGCATCTCCTCAACTTCTTCCCGCTCTTCCCCTCTCGCAGCCATCACAGGATCCAGAGCGGCCAACTGCACGCCTGGAGGGATCTACCGCTTTCTGGAACTATGCCCGGGACGCCTGGGGAATGTCTGGATATTGCATTCGACAGACCAACAGCAGAACGTTCCACATCGAGTGTAATTGCAACTAACACGCAATAACCCAGCAAAAATCATGCGCTTCTGTTGCCGAGATGCTCGACTGTGTTCGCTGTTTTTTCGCGACGTGCTCTACGCACTCCAAGTCAATGGGCTCTCGCTGGGTGAAGGCCTGCGGCAACAAACTCGGAGCAATGCGAAACCTCTTATATGATTGAAACATAACCGGCAGCAGCTTGCCACTCAAGGGATCTCAAGGGCAGCGAGCACGGGATCTTTTGTGCAATTGCGGCCTCAAGCTGTCCCATCTCTTCCGCGTGCAGCCTGCGTGCCAGCTCCTGGAGAACGTCAATGGGTGGGCCTCAAGTAGAACATGTTGCAGTGCGTCGGCCTCATCTTCGTGAATCTGCTGCCAGATGGCGGCCATCAGAAATAGATGGCAAACCCACGCGCAGAATGCGGTTTGTAGGTAAGCTGGTCAGCCATGTAGCGTTTGTGCGCACCGCAAAGTACGATGTGTTGTGTGTAGCGACGTGCTACTGGTGGCTGAAGATAGCTTTCTCCACAGGTCTTCCGGGAAGCGTCGTCGAGGTCTAAGGTTAGCTTATTTAAGGGTTTCATTCTGGTGGCATTGCGAGATGTTGAGTCTCAAGTCTCCCTACGGGGAAGGCTGTAAGTTGAAAAGCCCATGGTCTTCCATGCTTGGACCGTCACGGCTGTGGGACTGTTCGATACTGTTCGTCTGCTCCGCTCGAAAGGGCCACAGCACGTGGGGCAGCATGTTTTCTTCTTCCAGGGTCAATTGACATCACGCCGACGCGGCTACGCTGGCTACGCACCTATCATCACAGAACGAGCGTAACCAGCAAAGCACCTTCTCGCAGCGGCTGATAGATCGCCGTCCACACATGCCCGACAAACACAAGGATCATGCGAAACAACAACCTGTGAATCCTGGGAGGCGCGCTTCGATTACCGGCACCCACGCTGCTGTACTTGCGCACCCCGCGCCGCCTGCAACTCTTCTTTTGGCATGCCCTGGGGTCTGGGAAGCCTTCATTGCGGGATCCCAGGCGCCGGACTCTTTCTTGGCACTCATGACGTCCAGGGCTTGCTGGAATTGGTCAAACAAATCTGGGATGTCACTGGGAGGTGGAGCACTGCACAGCAGAGATGCAGCAATATTCGAACTTGAAGGCCCTGGGTTCTAAGGGACTTCAGGGACTTCTAAGTGCCAAGCAGAATTGAGCAACCTCGGACTCGGCCACGGCAAGCTCACCTGACAGAGCTTACTGGAGGCAAGTGGCCTACATGGGCCTACATTGAAGCCCACCAGCCCGCCTGCCATGATCTTTGCGCAAATCTCCACGGCGGCATGAAGCAACTCACCATGACGGTTCCCAGAAAGTGGCCTGCAGGCTCGCCAAGCTGGCATGTGACTCGCAGCCGACATGGACATGCAGGGTTTAGGGTTTAGGGTTGCACATCCCTCTTGGAAAAGCATTGCCAGGAGCCAGACAGGCAATGTGGGTTCACGAAGGCCAGGGAGCACCTCTATACGATTTTGCATAAACAAAACATGCTGAGCTGGCAAGTGAGATGCTGTGGCCATCCTTTCCCTCAGCCGCTGCACTCCTTTGCCCAGAGGTGTTGACCGTCGTCTGGTGAAAGCTCTAGCCTAAGCATGTGATGCGAGGTGTATCTGCTCCATCCGAAACCTGAGAGGCAAGACTCTGCCGCCTCTCACAGCTCGTCAACAGCCGGCCCCTCAAGGAGAGAGCCTCCCAAATGAGCTACTGCCTACACAGAACACATCTTCCAGGTTGCCCCTCACGCAAGTTGCAGGGCACCCCAATAAGGGTTCGCAAAAGTGCTGGAGGGCGCTCGCATGGCTCCAGGGCCTCAGCGCATGCTTCAGAAACTTCTGCTGCGGCTTTCAGATGCTTTCAACTTCTTCCATGTTTCAAAGTTACAAAAAGCAATAAACGCTACTCGTGGCGTTTCGCGGCATGCGCAGTGGCATTTTGTCGGGCTGCTAGAAGAATGGGTGCTTTTGTCTTCTGCTTGTAAGGCACCAGGTACGTTTGCCTTTTGGGATGGTGTCACTTGCATCTCGCTCGCGCTGAGTGGCGTTTCGCAACCCCAGAGTGCTTAAGCCTGTGACCACACATGCAGCACCAAGGTCCCCAGACAGCTCAGGAACCAAGTCCTGCGGTTCAGGAGCAAGTGGCATGCAGGTGCTCTGCATTTGAACATCTTCCACTCAAGCTCCTTCTCTGGGCACAAGTCCACATCCAGAGCCAGAACTGCCTCCACGCCTAGCCCCCCAGTGCTTGTCAGGACCTTGGCAACGAACTCAACAAAAGCTGGAATCGCTGTGGTCAAGCCGCTTGGGGGCAAATGCCCCACAATTGCCCTATTGCAACATGGTCCGAGTTCGTGTTCTTTCCACGCCTCGGACACGATCTCCGCCAATGCTACTGCCACCTGCGTCCGAGCTTGCGCTAGGCCCTCCAGGCGGTCCTCAGAGTGACAGGTGTGGGCTTCCATGATCGGTGTATATCGGTGTTATGTCTTGTCCTATTGGTTCCCTGCATGAATGTGCCCATTCCTGGACGGAGACACTTGTCATGTCGTCCAGGAAGCTTCTCCCTGGCCAACATGATCAGAAGATGCGTGCTCTTCCGTCAGGCCGCACGCCATGGTGCTACACCTTTCACACACCTCCAGAAGGAACCAGTGGCTGCAACAATGGGTGCTGCCTGGCACAGACTCTGCAACTTTCACCTATACTCTTGAAAAATGTGAGAACAAGCAGCAGCAAATTAGACATAGGAACCCTAAACCCTAAACCCTAAGAGAAAATGACGCTCCCTTGCCAGGGCGGCTGGAGATCTTGTCGCGAAGGCGCAGGCCCAGAGAGGAGGACCAGGTGTAAAGGCCCGTGCCAAACACCTTAGGGGTTATTTAGGGGGCTACTTGCGTACATAAGGACTATATAAGGCATATATATATATATGGGTTATATACGGGAATAAGATTAAGGGTCCCTTCAACCCTTTACACCCAGCTCTGCAGAAGAAACAGTCAAAGCGCGAGGTTCAAAGCTGGGCCCTGGCCAACGAGCAGCCGCTGCAGAAGGAAGGCCACATCGTCCAGAGAGGGCACGATGAGCAATAGGGACTGTGGCGCAAGGATTCAGAGGGCGGGATTCTGCGGGCGAGCGCATGCTGGTTTTCCTCGCCTCTGTGGGCCTTAGCCTCAAAGAGGCCGCGCACATCAAAGCACCTAATGCTCAGCACACCACAACTGCCATTCAGCACCGACACGCGCGGTACGTGCGTTCATCATTCGATTCGATGGCGAGCCACGCTCATGAGCGTCAGTCGTGGCGCGCGTTTGCTCTTTGTGTCTCGAGCTCTTAGTACCTGTGCCCTCCTTTCTATTCAACTCATTTGAACACACCCGCGCTTGTGTACAACTTTCAGATTTGCTTTGGATGGGCCCGCCGCTAATCATGGGTGGCACATGGGCCACCAGAGCAGTGAGGGGCATCTTGGCGTCCACCTTCGGCGTGCGGTACTGGTGTCTTTCATGCTTCTGAAACACATGCAATCACTCGTTCCAGCAAGGCAACAACTCAACTGTTTGATGGGCTCCTTATGAGCACTCGAAGCAAGCTACAACTGGTAGGATGACGTCCCTAAGCTTCCTTCCATGGCCTCCAGTGGAAGCAATGTTGAAAAATGAGTGCCTCAAGCGGCAACGTTCTGAGTCTGACTGAAGGCATGCCAGCCCATGATTTTGCCAGGGTCCAAGCACACTGTTTCGCGATAGCACCCGCCCTCTTCTGACAAAGCTGACCTTTGTGCACCGCCATTTGGCACTGAGCAGCTGTTTGGCAAAGTGGTCGAGGCTTACCTTCAAACACATGACACAGCAAGCTGCCACTTTGTTGACCTTGTGCCAGAGGGGAGGCTGCAGTTGGATCAAGCACAGGGTGTGCATGTTGAATCATCCTGACACCGCTCCATGGCCAGTTGCTTCCATGAGCTGGACAATCGGCAGGTGCATCATGCTCACTTCGTGCTAGATGTTTCTAAGTCCCAGGTGCTCGGTCCTCAGGGCAGCAAACCTTTCCATGGGTTGGGGGGGGGGGATTGTGCAGAACGCAGTTGGTCTGGATGCTTCTTTGGCTGGGCATCTGCCGGACCCAGCTATGTCTGTGCCAAAAGAGGAACTGAGTCCGACTGCAGCCTCCAGCTGCACCAGCATGCGCCAGCACATTCGTGTGCTGCAGGTGCTGGAGCAGCAGTTGCCCAGGGCGTTAGGGGAACAACGGGGTTTGCAGTCGGGCCCGCTGAGCTCTCCATCGCTTTCTCCAAGCTGCCTGCCTTGGCGTTTGGTTCGGGCTTTGGGTTGGAGTGATTTTGACGGCTCCTGCACTTGCCTCGGCCATTTTGACAGCTCCCTGAGCGAGAAAGCATCGGAGCGCGTACTGGATTGCAGGAGCGTGGGCCGTTTTTCGTCTGACACTCGCTACCGAAACCTGTGGTTCTTGAAGTGCGCGGACTTCTTGGCCTGAGTAGGCATGGAGGTTTCAGCCTAGGACCTTGGAAGGCTCACCTCCTTGGCCTGATGCAGGGCTAAGCGGGGCCATCCCCGCTAGAGTTGCAACTCAATTTCTCCTTGAGGAAGGTCCAATGCAAGGACTGAATTTTTTCTCACCTGGCGCCGGCGGGAGGGGGGGGGGGGGCTGCAGTTGGTCACATCCTACATGGCAATGTCAAAAGTAGGGTTATGCACCCTGACAAGATCCAGCGACCAAGCCAAGATAACTTTATCACTAGGCACCACTGACAGTACTGAATCTCAGAGCATGACTCCCGCAAAGCCTGAGCGCACCCCAAGTGGCGGGCGGTTGTCATGTCCCGAAACCGGACTCTGCTTTGGGGTTTCAGCAACATCTGTGGCTTCGCGCGTCGCGTGAGCTGCTGCGATGCAAAGCCTGTAGCATGCTTCAGGTCAGGGCAAAGATGTTTTGAGAAGCAGACTCAGAATCCCTTGCCTGTGGTGAGGGATCTGCAACGCCAAGCACTTGCTCGCCAATGCGCAGACCCTGAACCAGATCGCCGAAGGCTAAGACCTTGCACAGCACTTCAGAGCGCATGCCCAGCAAAGCCAATGTGGCGGCGAGGAAGTTGGGGAGGTTGTGTTTCATAGTATGTCATGCTGAGAGCACCAGAAACGATGACATGAGCCTCTCACCCAAAACGGATAGGTTGGGCCTCCATTGATTGGGGAGGGCTGAGGTGCCCCCTCCACACCATCTACGATCCCTCGATATATCCGCCCTCAGGTGCAGAGACCCTTCGTGACTCAGAAGAAACTGCAATCAAGAACTGGGGCAAGTCCCTGAAGAGCTACCTTTGGCTAGGTGTCACACAACGGCCACACAAACATTACGAAAGCAAAGGCAAGTCCAGATGCAGATTAACAGCATATCCATGACATGTGTCTACGTGGCACAGCATGTCAGAACTATGATGCTAGCAATGTTGGGTTTAAGACGATGTGAAAGGTACAACCTACTCTTGGTGTGTGTGTGTGTGTGCGCTGAAAGCTTGTGTTGGCTGGTGTGCCTCGGTGTTGGTGTCAGTGTTGCAACCATGGCAGAATAAAAAAACTGGTGCAGTGGGCTCTTCACAGTGGAATACACGCCGAGCAGTCTCACATTCATGTTTTTCAGGGGAAGTGGCTGTAAACTTCAATACTAACTCCAGCGAGATACACACGCCTCATAAGCAACCCCATGGTTGAATCCTTGAAGTGGTGGTGGTACAAACTTGGAATTGGAAGTTTTGGGTTGGACGTCATGTCGATCAAGACTTTGGGTCCTTCACAAACAATATAAGCTGATCGATGGAGGACGGCAACCATCTCACGTATCAGAGTGTCAGAAAACCTTTGAAAAAATGCTTTTGATGCGCAAATCGTTTGGGGGAGCGGCTTCACATCCGCGTCGTTCAAGTGGTTCTTCCCGATTTTGGACCCCAGGTGCTGACTGATTGCGACACTATGGCAACTGCAACAATCCTTGAAGACCTGTACACTGATGCCATAGGGACATTATTGGGCTACCTCTTGGCCCTGGCCCTTTCACGGCTAAGCAGCTTGGAGGCAGCTATGAACAATAAGAAACCATCACCATGTAGACTTTATTGCGAGGCTTTTTGGCACACGTGTAGCTGCGAAATTTTACATCAAGTCTCTATCTCAATGAAAATGCCGAAAGATTATCTGGGCCCAAACGTGCAGCCACATCACTGATTCTGGACAAGATCAACAATCGGTCGGCCTTCCCAACAAAGAATGTCCCCGGGACAAAAGTCGCGGCGTCTGACCTTTGTTTGTGGTTCGGGCGCATGGCTTCCTTCTTGATCCCTCATGCACAGCCTCTGCCCTGGACCCTAATATGGCCTAATGATGCAATATCTATCCTAAACCCTAAACCCTAAACCCTAAAGATATGAAGAGGCATCTTCCAGGTTTCGGAATCTGGGTGAAGGGCTGGTCTGCTTTGGGCACAATCAGAGCACGCTGGCAAAGAAGAACCTTAGACTCCAAAGGCAAGCACTTCGTCGGGCCAAGTTTGCCAAGTCCAGGGAATGTCTCAAGCATCACCATGGCCCTCCATGGCCCGAGCATCTGTAGGAGTTAGTGCAGCCGCCTGCTTTGGAGAGCGAGCCCTCAGACTCGACTTGCAACATGTACAGCCTGCGCGAGCCTGCACACGTACCAACACATCCTCCGGCGCAGGGCTTTGCCGCAGCACTCGGACCTGGAGAGTGACGGCTCTTGGCGGCGAGGCAATGCGCAGGGCTTGGCATGCAACCTGAACTGTTCTGCTGAGGCTCCGTGGAGGCGCGCGGTGGGGAGCCCCGTGTCACTTGCACGGCACGCTCTTCCGAAGCCATTGCCCCCAGCCTGGCTTGCCTGGCATCAGACCGGACATGTATAGGGGAGGTTTCACTGGAAGGCAATGGAAGACGTGCTCGGGCGCTGGACTGTACTGGCTTTTTGTTCAACTCGCTAAGTGTCGTGAGCCACCGCGAACCCTGGGTCGACTTCTGAAAGCGCTCGCCAGAGGTGGACATCTTTGACTTCGCCGCTCAGGTGACCTCAAACAAGTTGAGAACAGACAAGCAAGCATCACAGCAAATCAATGCGACCTGGGCGCGAAAGACTCGTTTGAAGCCTGCAGGCAGGAGGGACTCATCCGCAACCAGTTCGCCGCTTGACTCTTTGCCGGGGCTGCAAAGTAGCTCCAGCCTTGAGACGCGAAGAGCGAATACTTAGGAGGGGGCGATTAAGCCATCCCCATAATTGTCACCCTAATGTTTCCCCTGCTATCATAGCTTTAAGTGCGGCAATGCAACAACGTGAAACAACGCCCAATGTTAGTAAGCCACTGGACGACTAATGGACTAAAATAGCAGACGAGACATGGTTCTGAGTGCTGACAGACACCTTGCTACCGGACTGCACACATAGCCCAGGTCAGAGTACATGGCGTTCACGAATGTACGATTTGACGGGTCGTCGAAGTAGGCTTCATTTTCCACCCATATAAGTGGCTTGTTGCGCTCGATGGTCTGACGCGCTCCGCGCACCACATGCAACTCCATGAACTCCACATCAATCTTCATTAAACTGACACGCCTGTCAAACTTGTAGTGGTCCAAAGGGCGGACTGTCAGTGTCTCCTGACGTGCTTCATATCGCAGATTGGCTTCGGCAGCTGCCTTTTCTGGCCCGTATTGGTCAAGAACTCGTATAGCGGATGGGAAATTGAAGTGGGTGAGGTCGGGCACAAAGGCGGTAACCTCTTCTTCCTTCGTTCCCAGAGCCACGTTGTAGGTATAAACATTGCTCAAGCCGTTCAGAGCGACCTCAGCCGTACTGTCCGGGAAAGCGGCGCATTAGAGATTCTCGTGCCATGCCCTCACCATTGCCAACCCTTTCTGTGCAGTCGAGACAACAGGCAGCTTCACAAGATCCCATATGCGAACCCTGTAACCTGAGCCATCCTTTAACTCTCCTTTGAACGTGAACCACCGACAGTCTCTTGCTGATTCTTCCAGGACTCGTTTGCATTCAAGTGCTGGAACACCTTCCGAAAAGGTTCAAAGGCGTGCACCTGCCCATCGGGGCCCACGCGCTCAGCTAACGGCACTGTGAAGCCACCAACATTGGCGCCTCGGTGTTGACTGCGTGACCAAGACATTTTACATTGAAGCTTTGCGGTGGCTCTTTGCGATGGCCAGTCTCAATTGCGAAGGCCCGCTTGGATAATTTCATGGAAAACGTGTGTGAAAGGATGTGTCACGGTCCCAGACCACAAAAACTCTGAGCTCATGCCAGACAACCTGCACCGCGTAGCTGACCAAAGTTACACAGCCCCAATCGTACATCGAAACGCAGGGTTCGGGATTGAATGCCGCACCCACAGCAATTCCATTGCAAAGGGGTTAGGGTCGCGTCTCGCTCGACTAGTGACACGAGTGCAAGGTGTGCCTTGATTCGCATTGCTTGAGTGACACAGTGAATGATAACGAATAAATATACTGTGCGTCCAGACAGTTGACCGCATGTATGAGCATTCGACTAAGGCAGGCGCCAACATCAATGACGATATCTCCGGCCTGGTGGCGGATGAGTTACTTAGGCATTGCTTGTGCGCATGTGTCTGGGCATGTTGTTTTGTTGGGCAGGGGGGGGGGGGGGGGGGGGGGGGTGCTCTTCTCTTTGCACACGGAACTTTGCGAAGGTCTTTGAGTTGTGAAAGTGCTTTCTATGTTTGCGACACAGGACTCGGCGACTGCCGCACCTTGAGCTTAGTTGATGATTTTAATGACCACGTCCCACAAATGGCGGTTTGTCAATGCTGTTGGCGTCTGTCAAACCAGAAATAGACTGTACTTCCTGCATGAGGCGGCACAGAGGTTCCTGGTTTGCTGCCCTGAAAAGGCACATCTCTGCCCACCACTCAATCTGATTTGTCGGTTTTGTCACGAGCCAGCTACAGCTATCCAACCCAGCCTCGTGCTCACAAGAGTCTACCCTTGAACCAGCCAAGGGTTACAGCCCACCTGCGCTCCTCTACTCTAAAGCAGGAGCATATCTCTTGCTTCCACACCGTTCCTCCCAGGAATCCCACACGACGCTACATCTGAACAGCTACGGTCGGCATCCTACTTCTGGGTCTTTACGCTCATGGACAAATGTCGTAGGATCCGCATCGCAAACCCTTCCCAGCGACTAAGGCCATGTCTACATAATAAAGCCTCCACCTGCATCTCGCCTCCTACTCGCCCCATAAAACAACAGCATATCTCCTGCATGTACGTCCCACCCCCTTTGCTAGAATTGTGCCGGCGTAGGCCCCAAACAGTGTAAGGCCGGCACGATGGCACATCGCAAGCGTCACTCACAAGAGCATACTCCAAGGCCGACAGTTCTACACTTCAACAGGAGCATGCGCCGAATTGTTCCGTGGGACGATGCCAAACAACCACGACCGCCGAAACGCACAGCCCGCGGGGCCAAAACGAGCCCAGGCAAGAGCCTGGAACCGGTAGGACGCTGCAAAGGCAGCTCGCTCTACTTCGAAACTAGACAAGGCCGCGATACTTGTCGTATCAAGTCACATACTTGTCGTTGAAACAAATTGCCGTTGTCAGGTCTTAGAAAGTGAACTGAGGGTTTAGGATTGAGGGTTTAGGGTTCACGTTCTTGCCGTCAGCAGCACTGACTGCTTCAAGGCGAATGGTAACAAATAACACATCGTATCAAGTTGCATCTTCTTTACAACCTTCCGGCCTTGCAGAGCGTCTGCAGTGCGTAAGACTGGCCCAAGTCGAACGTGCCAAGCTGTCGCACAGCATTCCCGACGTTGATGTCGAAGGCCGGCGCCACAAAGTAATGAGGCATCTCCGCCAAGTTGACATCCTAAGAGCACTGCATAGCACTGCTTTCAGATAGAGTTAACACTGAGCAGCATTGCAGCATCAGCGTACAAGGCCAGAACCTGAAGGAGAAAAGTTTGCGATCAGAAGACGGTTAGGCCCGGCGGTTAGTAAACCGACCCGCATCTCCATCTAGATATCTCACCTGGCCCGAAATGCGTCAGGTGCTTGGTGCTGGCAGGGCTTCTTGACGCTTCTGAACTTGGTTTGGCTTTACGGTGCTTCTGGGGGGATTACAACTTGATGAAGACTGGCCTAGGCTGCGCCCACACCATGCTTCAGGGGTAGGGTCTCTTGCCTCCCAAAGAGTTCGCAAGTGACAAGTGTCTCCCAAGCAGCAAAGCTCGAACGTAAAATACTCGTCCCAACAATCCTCGCGGCCCCGAGGTCCATGCGTCGTGTCACAGCATTGCCCAGCATCGATATTGTTCCGGTTCACTCCTCACAGGTGTCGGCACTCAGCCAGGCACCACGGCCACGGAATGAATTGCGCACGGTGTTGGCTCGTCAAAGAAGTCATGGGATAAGAAAGTGAAATGTCTGGATTTCCGAGATTCATGAATCTGCCATCGCCATTCCAAACGCTCTCCAGACATCTCTGTGGGCACTGAACTGTCGACTGTTTTAGCTTCTGGTTCAAAATTTCTTCGTTGCGAGGTCGACACGGCCAGCGATTTCCTCTGTGCAAAGTATCATCTCTTCCTCGAAGAGGCTGTCTTCGAACTTCATCGGTCATACAAAAGCGAAAATTCATGACCCTTTTGGGGTTTCTGAAATGGACCCTTGTTGGGGTTCCTTTTTTTGATTCTATTCTATTCGGGGGTGGGAAACACCCATTTGGCGCTTCGCTTTCTACATGCAGGGCGACCTCAGGCAAAACCTTATAAACCTCACTGAGCGAGACATCACGTTTGGTGGCTTGCAACGGCCTCCACAAACCTGCAGCATTGGAAATTCTGATTCGAGACCAAAGATGATTCAACGTCTGGTCGAAGACTAAGTGGGTAAGTCTGATCAATTTCCAAGACTTCCATGCCTGAGACACAGCAACAAAAGCAGACTACGCCAAACTGCTGGAAATTCGCTCTTTTGCGCTTGGACCAGAGTTTGTCTGCGAGTTAGGCTATTGGCGTTGGGCTTTGCAAGTTCGCTCCGCTACACGCTTTTCTTGCTTTTTTCCACCCCCGGCAGCCCCAGACTCTGGCATGGAAGACAGTCTTGGGCAAACTCTCAATTCCAGAGATCCAAGCCCCGCATCAGAAACGCTCTGCCGAGGCGAAGATGTACTTAACCAGCACTCATGCCGTGAAGGTTTTTGACGTGTGGCACTGTTCTGGATGCTGTTGAGGTGTCTTGAACTGCGAACCTTGCGACGACTCCACTGAGGCAAGCACCCAACTCGTCCAGCCAACACAGTCGCGAGCCGCTGGTTGAAACCGGAGGCCACGTGTGGTGAGCTGTGATCAGTGTTGGATAATGGATGCCGCCTGCGTAAACGGCCTTTTCTCTGGGCCGCCACCGCGTCCGGAGCTTGTATAAGCAATCAATAAACGCCTGTGGCACATCCGCGGGAAAAAAGCATCAACAAACTAGTCATTAGCAATCCATTGTCGCAGAAAGTCATTGCCCATGTAATGCTTTAGTTGGTGCGGTCAAGCTACGGACCTGTTCCGCGTGTTCAGCCACTCGGTCTTAAACCCTTGCTGCGCGAAGTCTGTGGCTTGGAAGCGCTTGTTGCACGATTCACGGCCTTCTCGTTCCAACTGAGTCTCTTGTAGCCACGTCTCACGCTCACCTTGTTGTGACCTTCACGGGGTGCGATTCGATGCTTGATCCGCGACTGACAAACACACTCGAGTCGACAAACCACACAATACGAAATGCCAACACCACAGCCAATGGTGTCAGAAACGTGCCGAAGTGCCTGCCAAAGCGTATGCACAGCAAGACGATGTGCAAAAGCAAACGGAACTCGAAAACTGCGGCCATGGCTTGCGCATCCCGAGACTCACAGCGAGTTAGCCGCTGAGTTGGTATGTCCAAGGGCCTGTGTGTGCCTGCTGATGCAATGACTTGTTGGGAAATATGATGGAAACTTGTGAACGCACGTACGAGTAACAATGCACAAGCCCAAGTCATGAACGACCGGTCGTGCTGGTCGTGCTGACAGGCTGTGGAGCCGGCAAGCAACAAAAGCAACTGGGGACCTCGTACAAAATCGCACACCGGTCATGACTTCGCCCCCACCACCATCGTAGGAATCGCCCGATGCAACATCGTGCACCAGTGCCTGCCGCACCTTGGGAAGCAGCGAGGCCACCAAGCAACACCATGTTGCCCATGCTGGCCAGCTTTCTACGATCAGTTGGTATAGGGTTACCTGGAATGCAATCGCGGCGAACTTCGTTCAAGCTGTACCTGGTTGAGTTATGTTGAGTGTCAACAGTGCGTAATTGCCTATTGCTGCATCCGAATACATATACTCGCATGAATTAAGCCGCATTCCTTGGGTCGGGTGTCGCACAGCACAATGGCAGATGATTGCAACGCTCCTTGAGCTTCGCATCAGTGCAACGAGTCAGCCTCTGTCGGGTCGCGACCCTAAGCGCATTTGGCAGGGAGAGAGAGCTCGTCACAGTACCACTGTTGCAGGTCACTGCCCAAAACCGAAGCTTTATCATGGTACATTGCAACCGGTCTTGTGATCTGTGCTCGTGATTGGCCAAAGCCCTTTCCCTGTCACCTGATGCACGGGACATTCGGCCAAACAACCTCAAACCGATCCTCCCAGCCAACTCCTGCTTCCAGCTACGGCGTGGTCCACTTTGAGCAGCTTCGCTGGAGTCTGTGCTGTGTTGCAACCGTTTTGGCTGCTCAGATCTGCGCAAAGCTTCGCATCCGGCTGTGCAAATACCGACCCTTGCCTTGCAGTGAGATTGTGCCAGATGCACAAAGGATCTACGCCCACGAAACGAGAATCGTGGTTGTTGGGTGCTGGAGAGGCTGCAGCATGCTGCAGCCTGTCAGCTTCTATGATTCTATGAGTTCAGAACTCCGTCAGGAGGGAATCAGATGAGTCCCACCATTGCTGCCAGCACGACGCCACCGAGCAAGAATCTGGCAGCCATGACAGCCACGGTGACACACGAGTCGCAAGGCAAACGTGCCAGCAAGACAGGCGGCTCTTGCCCTCCGTGAGGTACATAACCCTCAGGCTCTTGTGGCTAACCAAAAACAGCTGAAGGCCTGCTGCTGCCTCCACCCACTTCGTACCCAATCAGCCAAGTTGCGGGAGAACGAAAATTGCTTTGGACATGAGGAGCTGCCTTTTCTCGTCTTTTCTGCACACTTGTATTGCAGGCAAACATGCTGGGACCTTGTCGAACTAGCATGATTCGGCCGAGCAGCACTAAGACAGAGATGATGGACATGAGGAAAATGAAGCCCTCAGAAATGAGGGCCGCTTCGAAGCTTTTGCGCAGCACTGGACCAAAGGTATGTGCAACCTACGGCAACTCAGAGCGCAAGAGCGTTGGCAACCAAAGCTTGCGCTTCGCTCTGAGTACTTCGCGAAAACCACGGCAATGGGGAGCATGGGGCCCAGTGCACCAGCCTTGAGCATCTTCACAGGTCTCTTTCCGGAACCCTAAACCCTTTATGATCCCTAAACCCCAAACCCTAAACCCTAAAACCTAAACAAACTGTATTAGCAAAACTCGGAGCCCGGCCACAGCTTGCAAGGGCGCGACCCAGGACGGCAAACTTTCAGCCGCGCGGCTTGAGTCCTGAGTTAGACATACTCCGCGGTCGGCTGCCTACTCCCATATTGGGCGGTTGGCAAAATTATGGTTTTTTTTTGGATCCCAATTATAATACGGCACCTAGTATTTAGGGTACCCCAAAAGGGATCATAGTTTTGACAACCACCCACGTGAGACCAGCCCGCCTCATCTTCTGGCTCAGTTGCTCGGGTTCTTCTCCTCATGCCTCTGCAACGCTCATGGAGCATGGCGACTTGCACAGAACAATGCCTGTCGATAAACGCCTGTCGAGCTGTACTCTTGCACATTTGTGAGACATCATCGCAAGTGACCACAAGTCGTTTTGTTTCAGGATTCATGACGCATGGAGCTACTGGTGGACCGAGAAGTGTTGCTTGCTTGCAACCCCAAGGTCCCTGAAAAATGGTTCATGCCGGCAATTGCAAACCCTAAACCCTAAACCCTAAACCCTAAACCCTAAACCCTACATCGCCTGGATGTGAAGACGAGAAGGTAAAGCCTCCTGGGCCTGGCCGAAAGGTGCAACCATGCACAGCACAAGTGTGATTCTTACGTTCATTCGGGTGGTTTGTCCTTCCTCTCTTGTTCTCCGTTGTTTGTTGGCGTGTTGCGAGTATGTCACTTTGCTGGCGCCGTATGTTGATGTAGTTTGCTATTTGTTTGCTGTTCGGCTTGTCGAAGGCTTGTTGCTTTATTGTTGTTGGCGGTTGCGAGGTTATCCTTCCTTCGTCGTTTGTGTGTGTGTGAGAGTGCGATTCACTTCTTGTTTGTTGTTTGTTGCTTGTTGCTTGTTGCTTGTTGCTTGTTGTTAGTGGTTTTTTGTTGGTTGGTTGTTGTTGGTCGTCGTTGTAGTTGCTGTTGGTTGGTTGTTGTTGTTGCTTGGCTGTTGGTGGTTGGTTGTTGGTGGTTGGTTGTTGTTGGTTGTTTGTTGGTGTTTGTTTAGTGGTTGCTTGTTGGTTGTTTGTTTGACTGGTGCGCCTCCAGAAGTGAACACGAAGGTTCCGGGGCCTGTCCTGGCGCAGTGTCCATGCTCTGACTGGTATGGGACCGTGTGGCATCACATACTTGCGTCCACTGAGCTCAAAACCTGACAAAGTTCCGCCCACCACCAAACTCTGTGCGCATGCCAGGCATGCCGCCACCCGCAAAGAAGGCCTTTCGTGCACGCAGCA